ATGTCCACTCTCACCACTGCTCTTCAATATAATACTGGAAATCCTAGCCAGAGCAATAAGACAAGAGAAAGACATCCAAGGAATCCAAATAGGAAAAGAAGAAGTCAAACTATCACTATTTGCAGATGATATGATAATATACATAGAGAACCCCAAAAACTCCACAGAAAAACTAATTCAACTCATCAATCAGTTCAGTAAAGTCGCAGGATACAAAATCAACACGCAAAAGTCAGTAGCCTTCCTATACACAAACAATAAATCTGAAGAAGAAGAAATCAAAAAAAAATCCCTTTTATTATCGAAACAAAAAAAAATCAAATATTTGGGAATAAATCTAACAAAAGAAGTAAAGGACCTATACAAAGAAAACTATAAAACACGGTTAAAAGAAATAGAAGAAGACACGAAGAAATGGAATGACATCCCCTGCTCATGGACTGGAAGAATAAACATTATTAAAATGGCCATCCTACCAAAAGCAATATACAGATTCAATGCTATTCCAATAAAAATTTCAATGTCATTCTTCAAAGAAATAGAACAATTATTGATGAAATTCATATGGAATCACAAAAAAACCCCGAATAGCCAAAGCTCTCCTGAAAAAAAAAGAAGGGAATGGAGGCATCACACTCCCAGACTTCAAACTATACTACAAAGCCATAATCATCAAAACTGCATGGTACTGGAACAAGAACAGACATACAGACCAATGGAATCGAATAGAAAATCCAGAAATAAACCCACAGATTTATGGTCAACTAATCTTTGACAAAGGAGCAAAGACTATGCATTGGAGCAAAGAAAGTTTGTTCAATAAATGGTGCTGGGAAAACTGGGTCGCTACATGCAAAAGAATGAAGCTTGACCACTACCTCACACCATACACAAAAATCAACTCAAAATGGATTAGAGAACTAGACATAAGACCTGAAACCATAAAATACATAGAAGGAAATATAGGCGAAACACTACGTGATTTGCATATCAAAGACATCTTTACAGACACATCACCCAAAGCAGTGATGTGAAGGCAAAGATAAACAGCTGGGACTACATCAAATTAAAGAGCTTCTGCACAGCAAAAGAGACAATAACAAAAACAAAGAGAAACCCCACCAACTGGGAGAACATTTTTGTACCCAACACTAATGTTAAAGGACTGATCACAAAAATCTGCAAAGAGCTGATGAGACTCAACAACAACAAAGAAAATAATCCAGTCAAAAAATGGGCAGAAGAGCTAAAAAGAAACTTCTCTGAAGAGGAAATACAAATGGCCAACAGGCATATGAAAAAATGTTCAACATCACTTGCAATCAGGGAAATGCAAATCAAAACTACCATGAGATACCATCTTACACCAGAGAGAATGGCACATATTAAAAAAACTAGCAACAACAAATGTTGGCGAGGGTGTGGAGAAAAAGGAACTCTTCTGCACTGTTGGTGGGAGTGCAAACTGGTCCAACCACTATGGAGAGCTGTGTGGAGATTTCTGGTCCTACTAAACATAGAGCTTCCATATGATCCAGCAATTCCACTCCTAGGTATTTACCCAAAGGACACAGAAACATCAATTCCAAAGAGCACCTGCACCCCTATGTTTATAGCAGCACTATTTACAATAGCTAAGCTTTGGAAACAGCCCAAATGCCCAAAAATAGATGACTGGATCAAGAAGATGTGGTACATATACACCATGGAATATTACTCAGCATTCAAAAAAGATAAACACATGCAATTTGCAGCAACATGGATGGCGCTGGAAGGGATCATGCTCAGCGAAATAAGCCAGAAAGAAAAAGAAAAATACCGGATGGTCTCACTCATAGCAGGAATCTAGAAAACTTAAATAAGGGACCAGGAAAATGAATAACTATAAGAAAGTGAAAATCAAAATCAACAAAAAACTATGAACCAGAGACACTTTTTGGGGGGTGGGGGCAGGGAGGGGAGGGATTGGGGTCAGAATGGGGCATTTGCATTTGTATGGGGGAATATAAAAATAAAATTTATTATTTAAAAAAAAAAAAAGAACTGTATTAGCAGAGTATAATACATCCTGTGATGACACAAAAACTAACTTTGAATCCTAGGCCGAAATTATGCACTGATAATTGCACTCATTTTTATGGGACCTACAACAGCCTGTTTTCAAATAAGTGATATAGCAAAAAAAAAAAAGCCATAAAGGATTCCTTTACACTTGGGTATATGAAGGTCATTGCAACAACTGACAAGAAATATGCAGTATTTACTCAGATTATCTGATGATGATCACTCGAATTACCATTGCTTTGGCTCTTTGATTATCTGTGTTTCAGTTAGTGTCACTTTAGTAATTCAGGTCCTGCAAAGGTTTTCACAGATCAAGGTTGTATGCATGTTACTAAGTTAAACTTAGAAACAGAACCTCATCCAGTTTATAAAATGTATTTTTGCAGGGCCTCCCTGGTGCTACAGCAGGTTGAGTGCAGCGCTGTGAAGCTGTCTTGCAGCCTCTGCAGCACGGGTTTGATTCCCGGCCGGCCAGGGAGATACCCACAGACCAGAGCAGACCTCTCCTGCCTTTCCCGCTGCTCCCCTCAGCAGTATCTTCGGTCCGTCTGCCTGTTCTGCTTCCCACTCTGACTCTGGTGAATCCTCTCACTCTTCCACACCTCTGGCCTGTACTCAGTTCTTGTATAAATAAAAATAAAATATAAATGAAATAATTTTTATTTAAATAAAAATAATTTTAAGAATATTCCAGAAATGTCTGAATATACACATTTTGTTATAAATTATGTATTGTCTGAGAATTTGATATTCATTGTTTTAGATAATTGGATTTTATGCTTTTGTATATAGTACTGGTTTGGTACATAGGACTGGTTTGCACATGGTAGACAAGCTATTGGTTTGCACAGTAGTTTGGAAGACAGGTAGCATTGAGCATCCTCTATCACAAGAATCATTTGGGAGCAGTACCACAAAACTAGAGCCTACAGTTCTCACTATTTAGAGTGCTAATAATGTACTGTATCTGCATTTTAGTCACATGTAATATGTGAGCCCTGAAAATTAAACCATTGGAATTGTAAATTTTTTTAAAGGTTTATTTATTTATGCATTTAAGAGCTGGGGTACAGGCCAGAAGTGTAGGGGGTGACAGGATTCACCAGAGACAGCGTGAAAAGAGCAGGGGAAAAGAACAGGCAGATTGACTGAAATACACTGCTGAGGGGAGCCACAGGGGAGTCAGGAGAGGTCTGCTACGCCATGTGGGCAGCTCCCTGGCCAGGGATAGAACTTGTGCTGCAGTGGCTGTGGACAGTTTCATAGACTGCATCTCAACCCCCTGCGCCACTAGTGAGGCCCGGAATTGTAAATATTTCAAAGAACTGGAAGTGCCTTTTACTTGTTTATTAGACAAGTCAGAAAAGGTTTAAATGACCTCATGAGCAATCTTTTAAATTTCATTTAACATAAAGCTGACAATTCAATAACAGGAAAAAAGCTTTTTTTTTTTTTTTTTTTTAAACAAGGCTACCATTTAAATGTTTATTTTGGCTTTCACATGTGTAGGATTTAATTCTTTGAATTGCAGCAATAAAATCCTCTGGTCCTAAGAAGTCTTGAGTGTATTATTTTTTTGTAAATTTTGTAGGTAAATATGTGCATAAAAATACTTTACCTGTAAAAATAAATCCATATGCAAAAATGGATTAAAGACTTGGATATACAACCTGAAGCCATAAAATACATAGAAGAAATAGGTGACACAACAGATGACTGGATAAAGAAACTGTGGAATATGTATTCAGTGGAATAGTACTCATATCCAAGAGTGCCTTTTAAGACAAAATGGATGGATCTTGAGGTGATTGAGGTAAGTGAAATAAGTCAGGAAATGAAAGAGTTATCAGATGGTTTCACTCATCTGCAGAAAATACTCAAAGAAAATAAACTGGCAAAATAACAAGAATAATTCTTAGACTCTGTGGAAAATTTACTGGTTTCCATGGTGTGAGGGGAGGGAGTAGAGAAGTAAAGATGATCAGGTTGTGGCCTTGGAGATTTTGTGGAGGGTGAAAAAGGCATGTGTACATATGAACTGTGAAGTCAACTCCCTGAAGTATATAGTTATGTAAATGAGTGGTATGTAAGTAAAACCTGAGAAGAAAAATAAGATGTTTCAATTAAAAGTTGACAGTCATAAAGAAAATTGATTGAAGGTTGCAAGGGCTGGGGGAGAGGGGATGGAGAATTACTGTTGAATGGGTAAAAATTTTCTGTTTGGGATGATGAAAAAGTGGCAGTGGTTACACAACAGTGTGAACATATGTAATGCCACTTAATTGTACACTTAGAAATGGTTAATTTTAAGTTATGTATAAATTTATAGTGAAAAGAAAACATAGTGGAAAAAAATTGGGCCAAGCAAACCTTGGTTCTGATCGTCCCTAAAAGGAAGAATTGCCATTCCAATAAGGGAGAAGGATCCAGAAAAACAGCTGTGGCTTTCATTCTGCTGGGGAGCCCAAGCACTCAGGAAGGCCTCTGCCTGCTGCCCACCCCCAAGAAGCCCCACACCAGGGCCTTCCTGTCACCCTAGATGTGGTGGGGGGTCTCCTGCTCCAGCCCCTATAGGGCAGGTGGCTCCACTATGCTTCTGTGTGTCTGTGCTTTGTGGCCAGATAGCTTATCACTCCTGTCAGCTGTCACTTCTGTCACCCTAGAGGGACACGTTTCTTTCACAGTGCACACTTCTCTTTCTTCCCAGCAAGGGAAGGGGCCTTCATGTCATGGGAGAGTCTGCTTGCCCCACAAGCTTCCTTCCAACTGCCCTGTGGTGTGTACATCCAGCAGCCTTCTCATAGACAGCACAGACCTGGGCAAGGGGCAGGCTCTCTTACTCAAAACCGGAACAATAATATGGCTCTGCCCAATCTGAAGGATTCTCTCTACAAAACCAAGACCTCCACCAACTCTGATTACCATTTATCTTCAAGGTCCAAAAAGAGGAAATCAAGAGCCTTGGCAGCTGGATCAAGACCCCTGGCTACCCTCAGGCTACCCTCAGACCAAGGTGGGAGATGGGCAGGTGGGTGACAGATACCCACAGCCACTGAACTGCTGACCTATAGTTTTGTGATCCTTTGTGACAAATGTGCTTTGCTGCATTCAGCCTGATACACAGTTAAACTGCCTAAGTTTAACTGTGAAACAAGGCCCAGCTCCAGACACCTGCATGTGGTGGGGGAATCTTCTGCTCCAGCCCCTATGGGGCAGGTGCCTCCACTGTGCACTGTGTCTCGTGCTTATCACTCCTGTCAGCTAGTCAGTATTCTCTTTTGCAACAATGGCATTCACCTTTCTTTAGAAGAAACAAACATTTTTCATAAATATATTGTAAGTAAGCATCAGTGCATGAATTGAAGAGACTCTTAAAAAAAAGTTTTTTAAAAAGATGCAGTAGGGGGCCTCCCTGGTGGCGCAGCGGTTGAGCGCTGGGTTGCAAAGCTGCCCGCAGCCTCTGCAGTGCCGGTTCGATCCCCGGCTGCTCCCTGGCCACCAGAGGAGGGTCCCACATGGCACGCAGACCTCTCCTGCCGCCCGCTGCTCCCCTCAGCAGTGTACTTCGGTCCTTCTGCCTGCTCTGCTCCCCGCTCTGGCTTGGTGAATTCTCTCACCCTCCCGCGCTTCTGTCTGTACCCAGTGCTTATATAAATAAATAAATAAATAAATAAATCTTTAAAAAAAAAAAAAAAACAATAACGATGCAGTAGGGGGGCCTCCCTGGTGGCACTATGAAGCTATCCATAGCCACTCAGCACAAATTTGATCGCTGGCCAGGGAGGTGACCCATATGACACAGCAGACCTCTCCTGTCTCGCCTGCTGCTCCCCTCAGCAGTATATTTCAGTCAGTTCACATGTTCTGTTCCCCACTCTGTCTCTGGTGAATCCTCTCACCCCCCACACCTCTGACCTGTACCCCAGTTCTTATATGCATAAAAAAATCTTTAAAAAAAAAGATGCAGTAGGAACAACAACAAAGATGACCAACAATGTAAGAAAGCAAAAAAATAAATAAAAAGATTAAGTAACTATGATTTGGTTCCAAGGCTCAACCACAAAAGACCAATACAAATGACTTTGCAAAGATTTGAATCTGTTAATGCACCCTGTCACCACTGCCTCCACCTAAAGTGTGGTCTCTATTCACATGCATTCTGGAAGCCTAAGGAGGATCAAACACCTATGCTCCCCAATCACATATGACCTGTCTCATTACTTGTTGCTGAGAGGACTCAAATATAGGGCCAGCCCCTTGCAGGTCAACAGGCTAAGTACTAGGAGCAGGGCCAGTTATCTCCACTCCAAGTGGAAGACAGCCCTTAGCACACAGGACATTCTGGGCAAGCAGGTGGACTGGCCAGAATCATCAAGGAAAGAAACAAAAGGATGGGGTGTCGTTAGCACAGAAGCAGAATGGGCCATGTAAAGCCTGCCAGGGTGAACATCTAATGCAGTGGGTTGGCCATCTTCCACCCCTACAGGACAGCTTCAGAGCCTGCTCAGCCTGGGAAACAGGGAAGATCCTGGCAGCTCATGGGCACTCAGAGCAAAACCCAGAAGCTGTCTGGTTCTAGCCCTCTCCATGGATGTGAACTGAACGTAATCACCCCATGTTACTCAAAGGCTGGATGATGGCAGTACCTAGAGACCTCTGTCTCATCTCTGGCCTGGTGTTTTTGGGGGCTCCTTGTGCTAATTCTGACCCATGATTCAATGATCTGAACAAATGTCTATGGAGGCACATGAGGACAGATTTTGTTACTATGGATATGAGTATACTCTCTGAAGCTGGGTTAGAGGTACTGCTGCTTCTGAAGTTTCCTCTTAGGCTGGAAGTTTTTCCGCTTTGTTCCCTTTGATCCTGCTCCTCCTACAGGAGCTTCACAGGCTACTGGAACTCCCTTCTGCATCCCTGCTGACTATGTTACTGTAGTGCTCTGTCCCTTTCTGTTCTGGTTGGCATGACCTTCCCTCTGTAGCTTCTTTGGGAAACTGAAGATTTCCCCAAAGTGAATCCACTTAGACCTCTCTCAGCACCTCTGCAACTCCAGTTCCCCTGCATCCCCTGATATGTTTCCCTTCAAGCTCCTACTCCTCTAGGCCCAGAGAACTATGCCAGACCTCTCCCTTCCCTCCCTAGCCTCTCAGACCCCAGTTCCTAGAACTTTGGGTCCCCTGCCCCTTAGGGGCTGTCAAAGTCTGAGACCCCCAAGAGCAACTAGCTGAAAAAGAAAAAAAAAAGAACTAAAAATAGACTTAAATTTTAAAAAATTATTAGTTATTTTTTAAAAGATTTATTATTTTTTGTGTAGAAGAACTGGGGTGTAGGCCAGAATTGTGGGGGGTGAGAGGATTCACCAGAGACAGGGTGGGGAGCAGAACAGGCGCATCTCCTGAAATACACTGCTGAGGGGAGCAGCAGGCAAGACAGGAGAGGTCTGCTGCACCATGCGGGTTAGCATCCTGGCCAGGAATGGAACTCAGGCCTTAGTGGTGATAGCGCTGAAACTTAAACCCTACGCCACCAGGGAGGCCCAGAACATAGGCTTTTAGTTTATACCTCCATAAGATTATATATTAGGGCAAAACAAACAAACAAACAAAAAACAACTTAAAGGCCTCCTGCACAGACTTGTAGAAAACTTTAGCCCTTGCGTTGAACAGGTGACTAACCTGCTCCGTCTACTACAAGCACAATTCAGTTAAAACTATAAAATAGAGGGCCTCCCCTGGTGGCACAGTGGTTGAGCGCTGAGTTGCGAGGCTGCCTGCAGCCTCTACAGCGCCAGTTCGATCCCCGGCCACCGGCAAGGGTCCCACACACACAAAAAAAAAACCAAAACCAAAACCAAAAAACTATAAAATAGAACAAAAGCAAAGTACAAATCTTATATAAACTAGTGAGTGTCACATAATTGTATTTATGCCTGACATATGGCTACACTCTTTAAATGAAAATCAGAAGATTTCTATTTGCATCCATCTGTTGATGTATGTATGTTTACACACATATTAATACATATAATACACACACACACGTATTTCCATACTTCCAGATAGTTCTATCAAATTAACTTACAAAATCTCTTAGAGGAGGACTCTCCCTTACAGAGAAGTGCTTACTGAGAAATAAGCACTTATATAAATTAAATCTTCCTAAAACTCCCAGAAATATAAGAACCAGCTCAACTGTTTTTCAAGTTCATGTAACTTGAGTAAATCAAAGGTAGGTAATACTAGTTTAATGTCAATTTAATAAAAAAGGCATATGTTCAAAGTTGTCAAATATAAGTTTTTATTCTACTTGGTTTATCATTCAAATAAGTTAATATAACCATTAGATGTTTATGGCTATAAAAGTGATAAATGAATTAGACTTTAATGAAACTTAGTCACTATTCTTGAGACAGGGCAGCAAGGGGCAATAGAACTGGCCAAGGACCACTGCCCAAATAGTTTACTGGTCACTGTCTGAATTCTTTACCTGTGCATGCAATTGCAAGACTACTCAGGCTCAGAGAACAACAATAATGTGATTTATTTAACAAACCAGGGAAAACAAAGAGTCACGGAGGCCACAAATATCCGTTTACCTCATCTGAAGTCATGTACAGTGTTTTAAAGTCCTAAACATAAAACTTCCCAAGATGGCGTCTTCCCACCACTGAGGGCCTGGAGCAAGTGGCAGCCATACAATAAGCTGGGATCCAACTCACGGAGACAGCAGGAGACACAACGGAGATGCTCATGGAGCTGCCAAGATACCTCTGCACAGCACCAGACAAGCGACACTCAAAACAGCAGCTGCTGCGGCCAAACTACCTGACAAACGGCCACAATCACGCAGCTCAGCGAGGCGCTCAGCTCTGGGTCTTCACCTTCCCTGCCAGGCTGTAATGGCAGCAAAACTGGGAACAGTTCCAGTCTCTCAGCTACCTGCAAAGCCTCCTAAATTTTCCTCTCTGAGTTTGGCTGCTGGAGGCCCCTGCACATCCTTCAGAGGCCCACAACGGCCTTCTGGAAGATCAACGTGGTGGGGCAGAAATCGCTGACCCCAGAATCCCTGAAAATCCGAAAATATGAAGTCCCGAAAGCTGAATGCTCAAATGTTCAGTCCTGAACAGTAAATCCTGGGGGCTGTTTCTGTAGTCCCTTATATTTCTTATCAGAGTCTCCACCCCCACCTATACTTGTTCGCATTTTCCCTGGGACTCTCTATCCTCACCAGCAACCCCCTACAGGGGGAACCACCTTAAATAGTCTTTGGCTTCAGCCACTGGTTACATTCTGACAGACTTTGTATCAATAATAATTTGTGTTTTAATGTATCTCAGGTTAAATATACTCATTAAAAATATAATTTCTGAACAAGATAAAATGCTGAAACATTTGTTATTAAGCCTAAGTTGATATACTTTAAGCTTCTTATTTTTATATTGTACAGAGAGGCTAAAGATATTTGGGTTTGGGTTTACTAATAAGCTTCAGCACTATGAAGCAGTCAGTAGCTACTGCAGCATGAGTTCAACCACAGGCCAGGGAGCTGATCCACATGGCGCAGCAGACCACTCCTGACTCGCCCGCTGCTCCCCTCAGCAGTGTATTTCAGTAGATCTGCCTGTTCTGTTCTCCACTGTCTCTGGTGAATCCTCTTATCCCTTGTACCTCTGGCTTATACCCCAGTTCTTGTATGCATAAATAAATAAATTTTTTAAAAAGTTTTTTATTTATTCATGTATACAAGAACCGGGGTACAGGCAGATGTGTGGGAGGGTGAGAAGATTCACCAGAGACAGAGCGGGGAACAGAACAGGCAGACTGACTGAAATACACTGCTGAGGGGAGCAGCGGGCGAGACAGGAGTGGTCTGCTGTGCCCTGTGGGATTCTTGAAGGCTGGCCGGGATCGAACCCGCGCTACAGAGGCTGCGGACAGCTTCACAGCACTGTGCTCAACCGACTGTGCCACTAGGGAGGTCCTAAATAAATAAACCTTAAAAAAAAATTCTCATGACACATACACAAAATTTAAAAAAAAAAGGATATTTGGGTTTACTAATAAAAAAGTTCCTGCACATGAAAAATTGTACTAATAAAAGCATACACCTCTATAGCTAATGTCATGGTATATTCATAACATTTGTTAAACTGTTATGGAATACTGTTATATGACTGTTAATTCATAATTATTTACTTCCTAGTTTTCTCTGTAAAATAAAGATTGCTAAAGATAAAAATTATAATCACCATGTGAAAATAATAGAAACTGCGAGATCAAGGCAAACGACTTTGTGTACAAAGTATGGGAGGAAAACAGGATTTGTTTTTGTAAAGAAAAGGAGACTAATTTTATCCTAAAGTAAAAAAAGAGGCAAAGGACAAAACCCTGAATGGGAACAGAAAGTTCTAGGTTTGTGGGAAAGGAATTTTATGTAATGAGGTCAAAGCTGGCTAAGGCTAAAGGGAGTTATACATGGAGTTTGTTGTTGTTTTTTAAAGAACATTGATATTAATAGTGTAATGATACAAAACTACATTTTAGTGTTCTTTCTGCCAAAAAACCAAAATTTCTTGGATTATTGGTGTGCTTTTAATAAGAGACTGCAAAAGGGCTTTCTTTTTCTTTTTAAGTAATCTGCCTAGGAAAAAAAAATTCTGTATATTATCAAAATAATTTCCTGGTTGGTCCAGTAAGATGGCAGCAGAGTAAAGATAGTAAAGATACTATGCTTGCCAAGTTACACTACAAAGACAATGACCCTGACAGACAAATAGATGACTGCTGCATGACCAAGAATGATAGTATGGTGGAAAACATAGGGAAAACTGTATTTAGACTGAGTTTGAAGCAATACTGGGTAATAGTACCTATGAGAGGAAGGGGTATGAATGTTTGAATCATCTCTGCTGTTGTTAATTTAAAAGCATGCACCGGGTCTCCCCTGGTGGCGCAGTGGTTGAGCGCTGGGCTGCGAAGCTGCCCGCAGCCTCTGCAGTGCCGGTTTGATCCCTGGCCGCTGGCGAGGGGCCCACATGGCACGCGGGCCTCTCCTGCCATGCCTGCTGCTTCCCTCAGCAGTGTGTTTTGTCAGTCTGCCTGTTCTGTTCCCTGCTCTGGCTCTGGTGAATTCTCTCACCCTTCTGCGCTTCTGACTGTACCCAGTGCTTGTATAAATAAATCTTAAAAAAAAAAAAAAAAACACCTTGAGAATCTGAGAAAACGCCATTAAATTAAAAAAAATCTTTAAAAGCATGCACCCACATCAGGAACTTTAAAACCCAGGGGCTATACTACAGAAAGGATACATGGGGTTGGTATGCATAATAGAGATTACTGGTGAACTTACAGGAGTGAGCCTGTGGTTCAACAGTAGGAGTCAGAACTGGCAAGGGAGGGTCAGACTGAATCACCTGTATATCTTCTTACAGATAAGGCTGTTATTTATAGCCTGTGGCTGTGAAATGGGAAATACCTGTTTTATCCTAACCCAGAGCCAAAACTGAGGTAAGAACTAATTACTTGGATTAACCAAAAGTTGAAGTATTTGGCTCTTAACAGAAGCAAGAATCTCAGGTTATGGCTCAGTAGGTGAAAAGCAAAGAGAACAATTCCAAGTTTGAAAATCTGTTTCAACTATAATCCCCGTTTGATACTACATCTATTTCTCAACCATAAATTAGAATTTGAGGTTGGCACAAAACTATTCCAGAGGTTTTGGCTGAGGAATCGGCCTAGGGAAAGGGACAACACATAACTTGGGCACACTATAGGAAGCTTGAATCCTTAGTGCTCACTGGAGGGAACTTTCAGTGCCCCACTGCCCAGGTACCTACCCAAGACTAATGCCCAGTCATCTGAACACGTGCAGAGGCACTGTGCTATGAAATAGAAACCTAAAGATTCTGGGTAAAAAACCTAGGATTTAAGCTGGCTACTTGCAGATGGGGTATAACATCAATTTATCAAGACAAATAAAAGGAAACTCTTAATTACAACCCATAAAAACTAATACTGAAGAAACATATCACAAATGCTGGAGGAAAAAAAAACAAAAAAACAAGAGAAAACTCAGAACCGGGAACACTAACAGATTTTGTTGTTTTTTTTTTTTTAATTTTTTTTTTTTTAATAGAGGCATGTTTTATTTATTTGTTTTGTTTTGTTTGTTTGTTTTGTTTATACATGCACTGGGTACAGTCAGAAGCGTGGGAGGGTGAGAGAATTCACCAGAGCCAGAGCGGGGAGCAGAGCAGGCAGAAGGACCGAAGTACACTGCTGAGGGGAGCAGCGGGCGGCAGGAGAGGTCTGCGCGCCATGTGGGACCCTCCTCAGGTGGCCGGGGAGCAGCCGGGGATCGAGCTGGCGCCGCAGAGGTCGCCGGCAGCTTCGCAACCCAGCGCTCAACCGCTGCGCCACCGGGGAGGCCCACACTAACAGATTTTGAAAAATATGATAGTTTCAACAGCAAACAAATACAAGTAATGCAGAGAATCAACAAAACTAATGCAAGGGGTGGAAGACATACAAACAGAACAACAAAGAAAGGAATTTATAAAATGAAGAGTTCTTTAGGATAACTGAAAGATAATATAGGGGTCTATAGTGCCAGCAAGGCACAGAGCAGGTTTTCTATGATCCGGGCAGACAGGTAAAGGATGAGTCCTGGAGCCCTTGATGGCTTTTTCAGGCCTTTAATGATCTTTCTACACCATCTGTAGTGAGCAACAGGTGCAGGGCAGGCAGGGAGGCCTGGGGGCCAGGAGGCTGGCAGGCTTCCTGGCCCCCGGCGAGTCTTCACTCTTTCTAGGCTCTCTGGTGCTCTCTCATGGTCTTTTCTCTGGTCTCTACTGCAACCTGCTGCACAGTCCTCTGCCACCTTGGCCTCTGCTGCCGCGCTCTGTTCTCTGCTCTCTACTGTGCCATTGCCCTTACAGGGTCCGCCTCCAAGCTCAGGTGCACGCACTTACACACGCCCACACTACACTCCAGGTGCCCCCATCAGGCATGCATGTTAAGACCACAGCTGTCAATCATTGACGCTAACGGTGGGAGGGTGGAAAAATCCTGATCACTTCCATGTACCATACAGGATCCCAGAACGAGATAAGCAAAGATTTATTCAAGGAAATAATTGCAGAGAACTACCTTAATTTGAGAAATGAGTCAGAAATCCTGATAAAGAGCCCAAAGAGTTCCAAACAAAATAAGAGCAGGTTGACATAATCCAAGACTGCTGCAAGCTACTACTCATCTGCATGCCATCCCATTCTTGTTGCCATGTGTAGAGCCTCAGCTACAAACTTGCCTAGTTCTCAATAGCAGCAGATGAGAAAGCAGGTCACAAAGTCCATATGTGGGGAGCAGGAAGAAATCTTTATTATGAGGCAGCAGGAGATCCACAGGTAGCAGTAGCAGCCCATCCGGACTCCAGTAGCAGCAGTGCCCTGTGCTTTGAGAGGTCAGCCAGTGGCCAGTGAGAGGCTGTGAGAGGCCTTGAGAGCCTCTCCCCGCCCCCCAGCCCTAGAAGTTTTTACATGATTTATAGACAAAGTCGGGACAGAGCCAAGTTTAGACCTAGTTTACAGAAGTATGTTTAGTGCATGCGAAACACATCAAGGTTACATTATTATTTTTGGCTTTCTGCACATGCGGGCTACATCTCAAGGCTACATGTTATTTCCTAGGCAACCTGTGCTGGAAGGTCACAGCAAAAAAACAGTTTGAGGGCCTCCCCTGGTGGCACAGCGGTTGAGTGCTGGGCTGTGAAGCTGCCTGCAGCCTCTGCAGTGCTGGTTTGATCCTCAGCCGCCAGCGAGGGTCCCACATGGCGCGCAGACCTCTCCTGCCGCCCGCTGCTCTCCTCAGCAGTGTACTTCGTCAGTCTGCCTGTTCTGTTCCCCACTCTGGCTCTGGTGAATTCTCTCACCCTCCCGCGCTTCTGACTGTACCCAGTGCTTGTATAAATAAATAAATAAATCTTAAAAAAAAAAAAAAAAAAAACAGTTCGAGAATCTGACAAAACTCATGTTTTCCTATGGGCCCTACAGCTAAGGACAAGGAAAGACAACTAAAAGTATCAAGAAAAAGAAGTTACCTATAAGGGAATACCTATGAGGCTGCATATAGACTTTTCAGTAGAAATCTTACAGGCAATCTTAAAGTATCAGGGAATGGCAAAGATATTTACAGTAAAAAAAATTCAATCTGGAATGTTTAATTCTTCCATATGATTATTCTGCCAGACTAAGGATAAGGTGCTTCACTGAAAATACAAAATTAAAAGAGC